CAATAGCTTATTCACAACTTGTATAATCCTCATTGAGAAACAACGTCTATAAGGAGTTGTGTCACATCCAACGTTTTCAATTGGTTTTGGAATTTTCTTTCATGTTGTTGCTAGTGTAGATGAAACCGACATTCTTTTATGTGCCCCCTGAGTTTTAATTTCCCGGAAAACAATAATGCTTTCTCCGACATCATGTAGTTTTGCTGCATGAAGTTAACTCCAAAACTAGGTGGGAAATGTTCTTGTGTTGTTGATTCAAAAATTCGTTCATATAGACATCAGAGTTTTTTTTTTTTTTTTTTTTTTGTCAAACAATGCATTTTTGTTAGGATAGGATGGCACGGCAATTCTGCACTGAAAACGCTTGTTTTTGTAACAGATATCTTTCGGATTGTGGATTGTTGTAGGTTGTTGTTCAGAGGATTCCCCAGTGAAAAAAGTAACCTGTCGAGCAATGGCACCATGTTCCACTGATGAGTATAAATACATATAGCAAATTTAGAACTAAGATGACGCTTTCTTCCCTAACTCACGGTACATTCCAATACGATACAACAAACCAATAACGAGATGACACGTAAACATTGGGGGCGAGCCATGTGAGGAGAAAAACTTGCTTATATTAGGGTGGATAATACATTTTTAATCTATATCTCACGCTTCTTGTGACTTATTGAGAGAGAGAGAGAGAGAGAGAGAGAGAAATGGACGATACACCTTGTTACTTGTTACATGTCATGTGAGTACTATGACATTTAAATTTGTTCTATCCTCTTGTGACTTATTGAGAGAGAGAGAGAGAGAGAGAAATGGACAATACACCCTATTACTTGTTTACATGTCATGTGAGTACTATGACATTTAAATTTGCTCTATTAGACTCATCGATAATGGTTATATGTGATCTGATTTGTTGAACTACATTAGCGTAACATCTCCAAGTTATTTCCCCAACCTAATTTAGGCATCATAGTAGTCTAATTTCAGAACTTATGTTACATCCCAAGATCTCCAGGTTATTCTCCTCACCCATCTCATCGACGTTATTAGGTCGCAAGGTGTGGGCGGGGACCTTCTTTGAATTTTTATGACCATTTGACAAAATTAAGTGACAGCTAGCAGAACATTTTGTTAAAAAATGCCAATCAAATTTAAATTAAATTTTGTCACATGTCACCTATAATTAAAATGTACGGTCACTCCATATTGTTACATAACTGCAACAGTCTCATGCATGTTTTAATACTGTCACATGACCGCAATAGCCTCACGCATGTTTTTTTTTTTCAAGATAGGAGCGGAGCGAAAGAGATCCCCTCCGGATCTCTCCCATCAAAGTTATAATAATTTTAGTCATTTAATCAAATTTCAAAAGCCCGGATTAATTGATTATGTGGCTTTAGTGGGAGAGATCCGAAGGGGATCTATTCCCGAAGCGGAGCATCGTCTAAAGTTGTTACATTTTGGTATCTTTTTTTTTTTAATTTTTTTATTAGCACTTTTTGCACATCCAATGATCCAAATTCTTTGTTATTATTGCCATCTTTTGAAGTCAATGTTGGTCAAAGGATCCTCTCCGGATTCATTTTATGGGGACATCCTAGTTGATCTTAATCGTTCATCGTACATCGTGTGATCAATTTTCGTCAGATACTATTTGTGTTTAATTTTAAATAATGAAAATCAAATGATTTATGATCACATGATACACGATAAATGGCTAAGATGTATGGATCCTGGATCCGGATGGGATCCAAATCCCCATTATTCATTCATCATTCAAACAAATTAATATTTTATTGGAAATACGGAAGTACATTTTTCCGATGCAGATTTGGATTTGATTTGGACTTTCACAGTTTGAAAGTTGTTGGGCCCACCTTGTAGGATAGCCTAGAGGTCCACAATGGACCACAGTGGGCTGGGTTGGGCTTTGTGACAACAATTATTATTATTATATTATTTATTTTAAAAATAAATATAAATAAATAAAACCTTCATCAGATATTTGACTGTTGAGTGTTGACAATAAGATTTACTCATATTTGGTAACTTTTCATTAGATTTGTGCAGTTTTTCATTAGATTTGGTAAGCATTTCACTAGATTTTGGAAAATTTTTACATAGATTTTCTCGTCAGTGATATATATAGACTGACTTGATTCAAAATTTAAGGGCTCGTTCATTTAGAATTTAAAGACCTACTAACAATCATTTTATAGAAAAAAAAAACCACTAATAAATACTCTTATAGAAATATACTAACAATTTTAAAATGTATACAATTTTGTTTTCTAGTGGTACAACGAAATTAGATGGTCTGAACTAGAAATACAGAAATAGCTTTACCCACAAAATGACAAAAACATGAATGTCAATTTTTCTTCAGTGTCTTTCTTTCATTTACTCTCATATTTTCTTCCTTTATAATTTGAAACACGAATATTTAATGTTTCCTTATTTTGTTTAATTTTATTAATAGTTAAGAATAAAATGACAAAAAAAAAAGAAATTTTCCGTAAATTAGTGTCCATAAATATTTTTTCTTACAAATAAATAAAAGATCTTAGTTAATGGTAATTAAGGAATTAATTAGAGACATTTCCACCTGAAGTTGTGGGAATAATTACAAAAACATCTCAAACACTTTCCATTTCTGGTGAAATTAACCATTTGCTTGGACCTCATCTCACACTCACACACACACATGGTGCGTGCCACGCTGGACATTTTTCCAATCAAATTTTAATTAATTGGTTGTCAATGTTGAAGAAAGAAAACCCCAAGAAATTGAATGTTTAGATTTTCATATGAAATTCATTTGACTTTTGTCAGTTCCCTCCTTTGAAAACACCTTTAATTCACACATTTTGTGAAACCTCACTTTTCCATTACTGTTTAATAAAATTGACAATACATGACTCGTTTGGAAGTGTTTTTAAAATGATTGAAAGTATTTTTAGAAAAGATGTTTTTAAGTCCAAAAGCACTTGAAGTGCTTTTCCTGAATTTACTTTATTTGATTTGGTTCTAAAAATATTTTACCAAAAATGCTTTCTGTTCATTCTAAGAGCACTTTCAAACGAGCTCATAATTTTTGTTTGGCTACATTTTATCGAAGATCATTGTAAAGAGGATCTAATTTTAGACTCACTCTGGGAGTAGGAAAGCTATAAATCTTACTTTTGTGGTGAAATTGGCAAAGCAATTATAGGGTTGTTTGGGATTGTAGTGCTTAAAAAAAAAAACAACTTGTTAAAAAATCTTGAACAGTAAATGTGTTTGGTAAAACAAAAAAAAATTTAAAAACTGCTGTCAATGAAATTAGAAAAGCATCAAAACGTAGAAGCATGGTCTATCATGGTTCTAAAAATGTTTTTTTTCTTCAAAGCATAGTAATCAATGCTCATTTAATGAAACTTTCAAATAGCAAGTATACCCCCACATGTTTTACAAAATTACAATATTTGGCCATACATTATTATCTTTGACAATTATTATATTACATTAAATATCATATCATTTTTTGTCATTTAATATATTCAAAGCAATTTTTATAAAAATTTACCAAACACTCAGACATTGTTTATATATATATATATATATATATTAAAAGCATTTTTACAAAAAAAGTTTATCAAACACTTAACAATTTTATTTTACAGTTGTTTATTCTCAAGGCACAATAGAAGCAGTTTTTTTTTAAAGCACAACAACACCAAACTAGCCTATAGTATTCTTATATATTACACATGTAGTTGTAGAGGCATGACTTTTAATTATTAACCAGTGTAAATTGTGCGAGGAGTTTTATCTTGTAATATAAATCCCTTGTATTATATGTTATATATATGAAATTTCAATCGTTATTATCACTTTAAAAATTTCATTATACACTTCTCACAAATGTATTTTTCTTTCTAATTATAGAAAGTTTGGAATGCGAAATGAGATTTTTAAAGTGCTAATAACAATTTCCTTCATTATTAGTTGGTAATCAAAATTTGGGGTAATATTTAAATTTGACATTATTTTTATTATTATTATTTCAAAGAAAAAAAGTTTTGGAGATTTGAACATTTGAATAGTAACCATTGAATTCAAATCCAACAGTACGTGAGACCTCCAAAACTAGACTAGGGTGGCTAGGGTTCCTTCAATTCAAAGTCCCACTTTGGAGTTGGGGCCCCTTCTCTTGGCACACTAGCGCTAGCATGCACTAGCATACAGGTGATTGAGACCTTTCAAACCCTTCACATATATAGGATAATATTATTAGGACGCATTTTTAGAGGTCAGCGTGCCCTTGCATTGTTGCTTGTAGTTGGGTCAATATTTCTTAAATTAATTTTGGATCAATGTTTATTATTTTATAAACACTCAATTCAAATTGGTTGTTAGAGCATAAATAAATCCATTAATTTGAGATCATATTGTTAATAGTATACTGCTCCTTATCTAAATATTACAATTCATGTAAAAATTGAACTTAGTAGAAAAAGACCTACAAACCACATTTGGTAATGCGCTTTGTTCTTGTAATGCAACGTGAAAATCATTTCATCCTTAAACAATTCGTTAAGGAGTTTATCATCGCTGAATATGGTACAACTAACTTGGGTATTTAATAATCTTAGGTTTGATGTAAATGTTTTAACTCTATTTACCGAGAGATTTTTAAGTGTGCCCGGAACACTAAACAGTATCCCACGTGTAATCATGTTATTGTACATTGGAGGAATAATTTTTTTTTCAAGTATCATTTAAATTGTATAATGATATGTGACATTTTGCCTTGTATTCCATGCACATTGTAAAATATCTTCTATTTAGCATGTTCGTTAATAAAACTCCTTTATATAAGGACAATATTACAATCACAATTTCTTGTGCTTCGGCATGAGCTCATATATCCAAAATTAGAGGGAAAAATACACCGTTTCATATTTATATCAAGATCACAATCAATCTGATTGACAATTTGCAAACCTAACATGCCATATGTTCAACAAAAACCAAAAATTCATAACACAAATCCAATGATTATCATTTCCATCGTCATGTGTTAAAAAGAGAAATAACAATAAGTCAAATAACCAAAAAAAAATAAAATAAAACAAAAAATATTTTTGCTTTTTGGCTTCCATGTGGAATTTTGGAAGTTCAAACAATAAACCCCGTCCCGCTCACGCTCCTCCCCCTCTCTCCCTTTATATCAACACACACACTCTCTCTTTCTGCTGTCACTTCCACACATTTCCTTTTCCGAAGCTGAGCCTCCGGACCCACTCCTTCTTCCTCCGAGCTCTTCCGGCCGTCGCCGTCGTCGGAGCTCCCGCAAGCATAGTAAGCCCAGCTCCCACTCTCCTTTTTCACTACCAACCAGCAAAAAGGCTCAGTTTTTATGCATGCCAATTGTCTGAGCCTCCTCTCTCTGTTATCCACTGCCAGATTCTCACGAAACCACGTCGTTTTACGCTTGCTGGTTCGCTTCATGGATCTGGCGCTGGTGTCCTTATTTTCCTTTTAAATCTTTTACGTTTTTATCGGTTGAAATTTGGTGCATTTTTTATCAACTGCGTTTTTTGTGAATTTTTACGATCGGATGGGGGTGGGAGGTGGGAATTTTGAAGAAATTAGGGTTTTGGGGCTGGATTTTGCGGTGTTTTCGGCCTCTTCCTTTTTTGGTAAAGTAGTTTTTTTTTTTCTTTAATTTTCTGTTTGGTTGCTGGGAAAATGTGTCAGAGGAATAGAAGATTGCTAAACATTTGTCTTTCATGCGCTCTGGACCTGGAAAAAGCTAAAAATGCCAGTTTCTCATTTAATTTAATTAAAAACAAGCAATGGCTGATGAGAAATTAAAAAGCTTTTCTTTTTCTTCCCATTTTCTTAAATTTTTATTTACAAAATAATAAGTGATCGCAATTTGCAAGGCTAGAAAATTGTTTTGTGGTTATGGCATGGGAACCCTTTTGAGGTGGCTTCATGTGAATCCCCTGTTTTGCTTTGACATTGCAAGTTGTTGTGGGTTTTGTCAAATGAAACAGAGTAAAAGACCCTAAATTTTGCTCCTTCAATGGAAAAAATCCTTGATTTATCTTTATGTTGCATAAAACGCAATCGAATTTTGCAGAGGACCGTAAAGGGCATTTCGTTTTTATCCTTTTGTACTCGGCCAAAATTGTTTTTCGGGCTGATTTCTTATGCTTGTTTCGTTTGCGAAAACATGCACAGCAACTCTTGTTGACATCAACTGAAAATGCAGGTTCCATGAACAAGGGTTCCGACTGAATTTATTATTTGCTCTTCTACAAGGCAGGCAAATATGAATAAGGAAAATGCAAATGCTGCCAAAGTTGAAGACCCTAATGTCCGAATCACAAGAGCACGGTCTAAAGCCTTTGGCGCATCCAGTGAGGAACTCTCCTCCTCGAAACTTTTCATTAAACAAGATCAGAAGCGTGGTCTTCGAGCGATTTCCAAAAGAGCAGCATCAGATGAGAACAAAGCATCTGCAATTGCTAATGTTGGCTTGCAGCATAAAAGAAGGGCAGTGCTTAAGGATGTAGGAAACATCACCTCTGAAAATTCATACGTTAATTGCACTGATGCATCTCAGATTCAGGTATACATTTGAATGTTTTGGTTTCTAACCCTACGTGCAAAAGTACTGAATTGTGTCTGAATATTTATGTTTGTCAAGAAACCTCACATGATTTCGAATTAATTGAACTGTTACCCTTATACCTGACAAAGGGGACGATGATATGCTTGATTGTCTATTATGTTAGTACTTTTTAAGTAATTCTAACTTAGAATTTGTTGGTACCGGTAGACTAACAAGCAGGCTAGAAGAGGACTTGGAAAGAATGTTAAGGTGGCCTCATCTGTCTCTGAAGCAATTCCAATAGTTCAAGACGACGTAAAAGCAAAGTTAGCTGAGGAATTATCCAAAATAAGGGTGGCAGAACCCTTAGAGCCCACTCTGCCAAAAGAGCCAGTACCCCAGGGTATGAATCATACCTTGGGACAACATAAAGGAGCAGATTTAATGCTTACAATACTGGCTCCCGCCGAATCTGCTGAACTTTGGAACCCTCAAAAGAAAGGTATATTTTATCTTCTTAAACTGACTAGTTTTTTGTGCCTGTGCCTATAATTTTGTTAGAGTGATGCTTGCAAAGTCTAAAACGAGAAGTGGAAACTTGAAATCATTTTAGCAAAGCATAATGATGCTTTGATTGGACCATGCAGAAGAATATATGGTCGGGGAGATAGTGGGATCTTCAAATGTCCTGGACATCGTGAATATTGACTCAAACTTAAAGGATCCTCTAGCGTGCAGCTTGTATGCCTCTGATATTTACAGCAATATCTGCCTGACAGAGGTTAGTGTTTCAGAATTCTAGTACAGCATGACATTATTAATTGTAATCTTACAGAAATATTGATTCTTCGCTTGAATTGACAGGACAGAGAAGTGTAAGGTTTCCTATATATTAAACACTGAAACAATTTATCTAATTATACTGGTGCATAGTAAAGGAAAGGGAGATCTGTGCTTGCTAAAATAACGTCAGGAACATTATTGATTCTGACTTTAGAGAAAATTTATTCTTCCTCAGGTAGCGCGAAGACTTTCAACTGATTATATGGAAAGATTGCAGCGGGATATCACTCCCAGCATGCGAGGAATTTTGATTGATTGGCTTGTGGAGGTACTTATTCAAATGGCTCTGATATTTCTACGATATGGTGTGCCTTTGCTTAAAGGCATCCATGCCAATCTCTTCTTAATAGGGATACTGAAAAACCTGGACTTCAGTCCCAAAGTATAAAGTCCAACTTTTCTTCTTGTTTTGCAGATATTGAGCCTTTTTCTGTTCCATTTAAAATGACCCTTGTGTGGTTGCTTACCGAATTCAAAAGGAGCTTTTTATCTTAGTCAAGAAAATCTGAACTTTATTGTTTCGTGGATGTGCAATATTTTCGGTTCACAACGGAGCCGTGGGTTGAGCACAAAGCGAACTATTCTTTCGCCATTTACTAAAGAATATTTTCCGTTAACATATGCTTTAGTGTTAATATCTTCTCACGTCTCTTTCAGGTTTCTGAAGAATATAAGCTGGTTCCAGATACACTTTACCTCACAGTAAATCTCATTGATCGGTTTCTCTCTCAAAATTATGTTGAAAAGCAAAGGCTCCAGCTGCTTGGAGTCACTTGCATGTTAATTGCCTCGTAAGTGCTATATTAGGTGTATAGGTGGTGCTTTCTAGTGTCTTATTGTTAAATTATCAATAAAAAAGATCCTGATTGATGTTTACTCAGGCTATCTGATGGCATCATCTTTGGTAGACTTCGACAAACTTCTGTATACATGTGTGTTGTATGTGGATTGGCACATGAGTGTACATGAGGAAGCAATGACAATACTCCTTTTTAGTTATTTTATCATTACATTAATTGAGGTTTATATATTTTTCTTATGACTCAAAGGAAGTATGAAGAAATATGTGCACCGCGAGTGGAAGAATTTTGCATCATCACAGACAATACTTACTCAAGAGAGGAGGTATGTACTTAGTCATAAACTTTGTCGACCTCATAAAACTTTGATTTGTTTACGTAGCATAATTCGAAAGCAAAACCTTGGTGTGCAGTTCACATGGCAATGCCCACCCTCATGCTTACGTTCTAACTCTTTTCCATTGGTATAACTAGTTACGTACTAAGTCACATACTTCTTGATTAAATCTTGCAGGTATTAAAAATGGAGAGTCAAGTTCTAAATTTCATGCATTTCCAGTTATCTGTTCCCACCATAAAAACATTTCTTAGGTAATGCACTCACCAAGGTTTATCCATGTTGCTTAGAAAATGCCGTCTGATGTGAACTGAATAAACCGATTTTTGGGTTTCAGGAGGTTCGTTCATGCAGCTCAAGCATCTTATAAGGTATTCTAAGTTATACGTTGTCTGCACTTTAGCTTCTGAAAAATCAATTACCATACAAGAAAAGAGCTGTATTTCATTTACTTTGTTATGCAGGTTCCTTGTGTTGAACTGGAGTTATTGGCAAATTATTTAGCAGAATTGGCTCTTGTTGAATACGGCTTCCTGAAGTTCCTACCTTCCCTCATAGCAGCCTCTGCTGTTTTCCTCGCCAGATGGACGCTCAATCAGTCAGACCATCCATGGGTCTGCAAATCTGTGCCTCTCTTGTAATTGAGGGTTTTTACTTTGTTCTCATTGAAAATTGTCTGAAGAATGTCAGGTTTACATTTTGCAGAACCCTACTTTAGAGCACTACACCTCGTACAAAACTTCACAGCTCAAAACTACAGTTGTTGCACTGGAAGATTTGCAATTGAACACGACTGGTTGCCTCCTAAATTCAATTCGTGAGAAGTATAAACACCAGAAGGTATTAGGACTATATAAGTTTGTTTTCTGATTGATCACGTTTGTCAGAAGACGATTTTTAGAAACAGCACTTCAATGTTAAAACTCATGTCTAGTTTCACCTCATTTAGATTCAGTACTCTGATTCAAATTATTGTCTTGACAGTTCAAGTCTGTGGCTACATTGACCTCCAAACAACAGGTGGTTCACTCTTTCAAAGATCAATAATTCACTAACTCTTCTATAAGAGCTGAATCGTGACGGATATTTATTAGCTAGCAGAAGCTCTTTGCATTCGGGTACTTTGAGTTTGAGGGACATCCAGATCTCCAACATGAAATTCCTTAACCTTCCATCTAACTGTGTTGTCTGTCTGTCTGTCCGCTCGCCCTCCCTTCCTTTGTTGTTTAATGTTTCTGGTGCTTCCAGATCTGTCGTTGGAGCCCTCAAATTCTTCTAGATTAAGACACAGTTAGGACAAACAATTATGTATTTGGCTCCTGGCAAAATAATGTACCAAACCTCTCACCACATGGGGGAAGTTTTAAGAGCTACTGTTACTTGGGTTGCAAGTTTCAAACAGGAAATGTGGCTCCTTGATTGTTTGTACCTAAAACTTCATATATGAAAAGAAAAAAAAAAAGAAGAAGAAAATAGTTATCAATCATTTTGCTGTGATTCTATTTGATACAACATGTACTGATATCTTCAACAGAAGTAACTGAGGTAATATGTTTGCAGGTGATATGTGTATATCATAGAGTTTTTGGGTCATCAAATCATTTTATGGAGAAGCACCTGTCAAATGGTTTTTAAGAAGCACTTTCAAATGAATGTGATTTTTTTTTGGAAGTGCTTTTTCAAGATTTGGATTCTAATGAAATCACTTCCAACAAAAGTACTTATGAGCATAGTGCTTCCTACGAAAGTAATCCCAAACAAGCCAAAATCCAACAACTTTCCATACAAACCAACTACTCGGTTCAAGATGGCCATTAACCTAATGTGATTGCAATGGACACATCAATGGTGTTCCTCGTTGAGGAGAAAAACTTTCATGCACCAATTGTATGAAATAGTTGTTTCACATCGATGACCATTTACAAGTCGCACAATGTAGCGAATGTGACCCATGTTTCATGAAACAGGTGCATGAAAGTCTTCATCGTTGCAAAATTATTTTTGTCAAACAACATGCCAACCAACAGGGGAACCCATCATGGATTATGATGTGACCACCTTACCTAGTTATCTCTTATTTTTCATATCTTTCATTATATCAGGTAGCTTTATATTTATAGCCTTATAGGGACCCATTAAATCAGAAGATCTGAGAACCATAACTGAAAAGTGCCTGCAATATTTGGTTAATAATTTGGCATTGACAAACACATGGCTCTATAATTAGTTTTCATAAAAACATAGCTGAACATCAAGAGAACGACTTACATGGATCGGAACGCCAGGGTAGGAGCAAACCCATTACACGTAAGTTGCTCTTGAACATCAAATATTACAGAGGGCTAAAAAGGAATCAGCCAATTAAGCTAGTAGTAGTACAGAAAATTGTGGGGAAGTCCTCCCCCAGAAACACCTTTCTGGGGAAGCAAAAAACAAGGTTACAACAACTGGCTGTCACAGGAACATTACAAAAATACAATCCCACCCCTGAAACAGCCATTTTCCATACATTTTTCGTAATCTCGTCACTCCCCACCATCGTAAAAAGGGAGGAAATAAGGGAAAACATCGGCTGTGATAGCATCAATTCGAAAGTTAATTTTTAACAGGTGATTGAGGTTGCTATAGGCGTTACCAGAACAGCAGTGTTTCCGGTTACTGGCTGGAGACTAGCTGCATTCTCTAACCGTTCCCATGCTTCCTTTCGCTTCTTGGCTGCCGAGCTTTGCTTTGCTTCTTCCTCCATGAAGTGGGCATGGCTGGAGAGGAATAGCTGCTCATCCATCTCCACAAACATCTTTCGGACATTTAAAGATAAATTCAGAACTGCTTGGTTCCAGTGGTTATGGGAGTTCCTCTCCAAGGCCGGTAAAATGATTGGCAGAATTACTTGACGATTATGTGCAATTAAGGTGACAATGTTGTCGTTGTTCCAAAAGAACAGGACCCTTTCAGCTACCTGAAACATTTAAACACAAGTAAATTGTAAATTGTTTTCCGAGGAATGAGCTTAAGACAAGAATATACGCATTCCCTGAGAAACACAAGAAGCAATCATCAAATTCCTCAAGGCAAATGTCTGCATTCCTAAAAGTTATCCTAAAACTTCTAGGTCCAAAATCTACTATAATATAAACATAATACAAGTCAAAGCGAAGATTAAATCGAACTCTTTTTAAACAAGACACTAAACCCGAAAATTACCTGGAAGTGGGAACTGTTAATGCAGCATGCTATCCGGCAGAACAAGGGGGCCATGATCTTCTGAAATTCCATCATGTTAACCGATTCCAAAATCTCTTCTAACTCACCCAAGAACATCACCTCTTTCTGACTACTTGTTATCGGCCAATATTTCAACAAACCCTTTATAACAACACTAGCCAACTTCGGCTCCTTCTCTATAAACTGCGTGACGCAATAGGACAACTGTTGGAAGTAAGACCCCAGATTCTTCGGCTTATGCAGAGGAATCAAAACCCTCCACAAGAATACCCTGTGCTCCTCTTTCAAGGGCAACGCAAACCCGCTAATAATACTCCCAAATATCTCCAGCAACTCAGCAACCCCATTATGTCTCTCTGTCTCAAACAAAAAGCGATAGAATATATTGTTGATAGCCTTGCGAATAAATGGCCTATGAACCATGAACTTGCCATAAATCCTATGCAGAATGGTCTTCAAACAATCTCTCTCCCTAGGATCCTCGGAATCAAACAACTCAAGCAACCTCAAAATAAACAAATGGTCTACATACTTCTTTGCAATCTTCGCGTCCAGACATGAAGAAGTCACGAATTTAAGCAGCAATTCATACACAATCTGCAAATGCGGCCAGGCGGGGTCGAACATGGGCTCATCATCATCGTTCTCACCCGCCCCACCATTGGAACGCGACCGGTAATTTGGCGGGAAAACTCTGAACAGATTAATGGCACACATTCTACAGGTTGCTAAGATGGCAGGCTCGCTGAATCTCATCGACCCAGTTGCAACAAAGTCCACAAGTTCGAGCAATGTCTGCCTCTTAACATCTTTCTCTATCGAATTCTTAGTTGGGTCCGTAAAATCAAACGTTACGCAACAAAGGCTCACCTTGCTAACGAAGAGGTTCATCTTCTCCGACGTCGGCACGTCCTTGAACGGCACCAGAGGCTCGATTCCGGCCACCACGCTAGCCGGAAACACAGCAGACGACATGCGTTTCGGGGCATTCGCTTTACCCGGGCCCGAGCTATTTGCACCGTTGGATCGAGGGGTGCCCCCGCCGAGGCCAGACGGCCCAGTCCGGCTCCCGGAGCGGGGCGTGTTCGTCCGCGGCGACTCCGGCCTCTCGTCGGATTTCAAGGCCTTCCGCGGCAGTTTACTGAGAAATTGCTTGAGCATTGTGAAAATTATCAAAATATCAACAAAGACGGAGACTTTAGAACAAACCCATAATTTGCCAGCAAACTAATTTATGAATTGGGGAAGAATAAAACCCTAATTTAGATTTGTGTCATAGATTTGAGCTCAAATTGGAGGAAAACAGAGGCAATTTCTGAAATTTCTTGAGATAAATGTTTGAAATTGAGGGCATTGAATAAAAATCAGATCCTGGCAATGTGGGTCCCCAGATTCCGATTCCAAAAACCAACACCAGCAAGAGCAACAACAATGGAAAACTCTGAGAGCATTCAAATTACTTTGCACTCACCAATCAAACATGAAACCTCTCAATAAATTTGGAGAGAGAGAGAGAGAGAGAGAGGAAGAAATGTACATATACATGAAAAGTGGGGGAAATTTCAGATTGTTGAAGGTTTGAATCTGAAATTGGAAGAAAGATTTGAACTTTGAAACAAAAGGGGGTATTTTTTTTGTTGGAGAGATTGAAGAAAAAGGACAGAGATTCTGAGATGGAAATCTAAGGATTTTTTTTTGTTTTTTTTGTCTTTTGGGTTGCTTATTTTGTGATTATGGGATGCAGATTGTTGGTTGTGATCTCCATCTGTGGGACTTTACTGTTTTTTGTTTTCTTTTCTCGCTGTAATTTTTTATTTTCTTGTTTGATGGGAGAGAAAATTGTGGCATTTTCTCGGGAAATGCAGGGGTGTTCTCTTTTGGGCAGTAAGTTATTAAAGTGAAATTGGGTGTAATTAGTAAAAAGTAAAATTAGTTTTTTTTTTAAGAAAAACCCTTAAAAAATTGGTGGGTTAAAAACAGGGTTTTGGTTTTGGCATGGAGTACGAGGGAGATTGAACACGTAAATGTGTGATTTGGTGGTTTCTTTGTTCTGTTTTTGGCTGCAGAGGCAGAGAGTGGTGGTGGATTTGTGAATCTCAATGTTTTGGGAAAGAATTTAAATACCGAGACATTTTTTTGTTCTAATCGATTGAGACATTTAGAAAGACAAATTTTTTGGCGTAAGTCGCACTTGAACTAATGTCGTGTTATATCTTGGTGTGACTATCCTATCGTCGCAGTGTTATTAATTCAGACATATTTAATACGTGTTTTTACTTATTAGAATATATCATACGTTGATGAAGTAATATGTCGCAATTTATTATAATTGACCCACTCAAAATACTCTCTATCTTTAGGTTTATAATGCAAAATGACGGTAGAAAGATCACTCTAAAAGTTTTCTGTTTATAATCAAGTAGAAAAACTTTCGCTTTACTTGATTTATTTATTGAATGAAGGATGTCTAGGTTTCATTGCGATGAATTTTAACCATAACATAGGAGTTTTATTTATTTATTTATTTATAATAATAAGGGTTAATCTCTGTTTACTATCCTGAAGTTTCGTGGTTTTTAACATTTAGTACATGAATTTTTTTTTGTCTTAGAGTCATACCTAAAGTGTTAATTTTGGGACAGTCTCATACTTCCGTTAGTCAAACTGTTAACTCTGTCGTTAAATGATGACTTGACGCCCACATGGACAATTACTAGGCGCCACGTGTCATTAAAAAAAACTATTAAAATAATTAATAAAATAAAAGTAAAAAAAATAAAAAATTCCCCAGATCCCCTTTGTCTTCCCCACCCCGACCTCCATCCCATCTCCATCTGCACATTTGCACATCCATCCTTCCCCTTCCCCCTTCTCTCCAGATCCCCTTTCGTTTTTTCTCCCTTTCCCTCTGCATAGGCCTAGTCCTTCTCTGTTCATCAATTTCTCCTCTGCACGTCGAACTTGTACACCATCGAATGCCCCACCTGTGTGTCGATCCGACCCAGAACCCGTCGTTTTCCCCGACATCCCTCCATCTTCTCCACCCCTTCCACCACTTACCCACCCGCACAGTCATCCTTCCACCCCCTCCATCCCAGAACCCTTCCTTCTTCCCTCTGCAACTCGCACCCCTTCCCTCCATTCTCTCTTCTGCACCTGCAACACCCTCCATCAAACCACCCAAACCAGACCAAATCACCTTAAACCACTCCAATCAACCAAATCTAGTTAACCCATTGATTTACACCTTCCTACACCTAC